CGCTGGGCTGCGCGCCGCCTGGGCGGGGACCGCTCGGCCAGTCCGCGTTTACCTCCGCCGTCCGCGCCCTCGCCAGCCGCCACCACAAACACGCCCGCACAGGCTCAGTGCCCTCCTGTTTGACGAGACAGGGGACGCACTCAGGGCTCCTTCAGGCGCCCCATGCACTCGCACCGCAGGCGGGCGCACTCACCCCTCTCGTCTGACTGCAGCTGCGCCTCCAGGTCCTCTGGCGACACGTAAACCTCGGCGTCGTCGCCCTCGGGCGGCCGGGGCTTGCACTTGCCGCAGCAGCAGTTGAAGCAGCAGCAGAGGCAGCAGCAGCAGTAGCAGCAAGTGAGGAGGCCGCAGAAGACGAAGAGCGCCTGTGGGGGCAAGGGGTCCTGTTGGGTACTCCCCTCCCCCCACACCCCCAAGGGCTTCCAGGGACGACAGACAGCCAGTGTGTAAGGGCTCGGGATGGGCTCAGACAGCTAGCCAACGTCCCCAGCACGGGCTTCCCGAGACACAGGTGACAGCCTCCTGGGTAGGAGACCCTTGGGACACTGAGTGCCATGATGGCCATCGATATCGGGTGCCCTCTCAAAGGGCTACCACCCCCCACCCCACACACACATCACCTCCAGGCCCAGCCCTGTCTTTCCAAGACCTCGCTCACCCACAGGGCACTGCCCCTTACCTTGGCCCACCAGCTGGACAGCACGAAGTAGGTGTTCACGTTCTCCTCACCAAACTGCTCGGCCACGTAGAGGCCCAGGGAGCCGTACTTGTCGTAGATGTTCCTCTTCGTGGCGTCTGTGAGGATGGCGTGTGCGTTGTTGATCTCCTTGAACTTGTCAGCGGCCTCTGGGTTGTCAGGGTTCTTGTCGGGGTGATACTTCAAGGCGAGTTTCCTGCAAACCAAAACCGGCTCCCCGTTTGGAACCTGGACTGGTGTTTTTCGCCCATAATGGGTCAGGCTTAACCTGTGACTGGCTGCCGGTCTCGGACTACTCCCAGACTTTGTGCAGAAAGCTGAGCCAGAAGAAGCCATGCCCCCTAACAGCTGCCCCAGGAGCTTCCTGGGAGCTTTCTGTAGACCAAGGCCTACCCAGCTATGACCCCTACATGCATCTGAGTCCCTACACAGTGGTGAGGACAACGCTCAAGTTTGTTCAGTGAGCCCCCCGGGGTGTACCAGGGGACGGAAGACCCTGGGCTAAATGACCACAAGAAACCAATGGTCAGTTTACAACCTCCTGCAGAGACTATGGAGGGTCCACACCCTGTCCTAACCAAGTGGAGCCTCCGGTCTGTCCTGGGTGCTGCTTTCTGGGCCCACCATTGCAGACCACTTCTTTCCAGAATGCTTCTCCAGGGAGGGCGCTGGGACAGCTAGTGTTGCCACACAAAGACTACAATGTAACCATTTGCAGTTATCCGAACTGCCAATCATGCAACTAGCAGCCCAGTGCTCAGTCCACCACTCACTTACCGATAGGACTTCTTAATGTCGTCTGAGGTTGCGTTCTTGTCCAGCCCCAGCACGTGGTACAGCGACTCCCCAGAGGTGGAGAGAGCACGCTGCCTCTGGTCAGCCATGGTAGGCTAGTCTATAAGACAAAAGTGTAGACATCAAAAAGTATAGACCAAAACGTAGAGGGAGTGCGGGCTGGTGGGCTTTCGGCACCTTAGTGTGTTGGGGGGCAAGGAGACAAGCGCCCTCCTGGGGCAAGGTCTCTGCGTGGTCCTGGAGTGCTCTACCACTGCTACTCAGGGGCTGTGAGCGACAAAAGCCCCGGGTGTGATCCACAGAGCAGCAATGACCCTAGCTCTAAATATAATCACGTTAGTAACTCAATGTTAGCGGGCAAAGGCTCTAGTGAAAAGATGACGAGAAGCAGGTAAGTTGGTGCCTGCAAGAAGCACACTCTGAAGACATGACTTCCAAACACAGGAAGCAAAAACGGACAGAACTCTATCCAAAGACAGAGACATTCTTATCATATAGTTAGGTTTGTGTCAACTAGGCTGGGCCAGGATTCTCAGTGCCTTGACAACTAAGACCCAGCAATCCCTCCTGACCTGACCTACGCAATGTAATCACAGCCAATCAGTGGTAAGAAGGCGAGGGTGGGATCCTCACACAGGTCACAGCCCCCATACAGTCAGTTGAAAGGTAGTTTTTTTCAGGGGTGTGATCTGCTTTCATTATGATTGGACAAGCTTGCTTGCTTTTTGCTAGATCTGGATCCTGCATCTGGCTTAATGACTTATTATTATTATTATTATTTTGGTTTTGTTTTGGCATGTGCCAGTGGCCTGCCATATTGCCTGCCACACCGGGGAGTCATCAGCAGCCTGCCATCTGACCTGCTGACCTTGGGTTCATCTGTCGCTGCAGCCACAGCTATCATCTTCCTGCTGATCTGGCGCTCATCATCCCCTGCACCTATGGGAGGGAGCCAGACGCCTCCAGACTAACCTCTGACCCAGGGGCTTGGGAAATGTGCCCAGACTTGGACTTACCTGCTTCTACAACTATGTGAACCACTTTCTTGAATATATATATATTCAATTTCTTGAATGGAATATATAGACTTCTTGAATATATGTATGTATGTGCATGTATGTCACTGGTTTTACTTCTCTTGAGAACCCAGCCTAAGACAATTCTTCTTTCAGACTGACAAAATAGTAAAAATCTGAAATACTCCATCAAAACATTGATAAGTTGAGCAGTGCTATCAACTACTGTATTAGTCTAGGTACTTTGGAGAAACAAATCCACAGTGACTCATGTATAAGAGAGAGTTTTATGTAAAGAAAAGGTGCATCACAAAAACATCCCAACCCAATGCTGCCCAAGCCCACAAGTCCAACATTAACCCATTAACCCAACACCAGTCCACAAAGTCCTCCACCTCACAAAACAGAGGCAATGATGCCGACTGCAGGAGGAAAGCTGAGTCAGTGAACAAACAAGCATCTCAGCACTGGCAGGGGTCTCCACACGGCTGCTCCAGCACCCAGGGCTGCACCGGGATAGGTCCATGTAGCTTCTCCTTGGGGATGTCTTGTAGGAAGTCAATCTTGCAAGCTGAAGCAGGGAACTGCTAAGGCAGCTGCACCCTGGTGCAACCATCACAAAACAAGAGACCCGCGAAGTAGAAAGGCGAGGCTCACCACCCATTTATCCCTCCGCCTTTCAATTAGCCCCACATGTGATTATCGGCCAGGCTGGCACAATTAACCAACTCAACCACCATGGCCTAATTGATATTCTCAGAATATTCAGCAACTGCAAAATGTACATTTCCTTTCAAATGCATACTGTACATTTACCAAGATATGTCAGTCAGTGAAGGGTTGAGATCATACACAACATGTTCTCTGACCTTAATAGAATTAAAATAGAAATTCAAGTAGGAAAACTTCACGTACTAGATAATAAACGGAATACTTCTAAAGAACATGAAGACCAAAGAAGAACTCGGGGGATTGAAAAATATTTTGAATTGACTTATAACACATTAAAATGTGTGGAACGTGGCCAAAACCAATGCGTATAACAGAAGAGATATCTAACATTCAGACCTCAAGTTCACGTGAAGGTGGTAGAAAAGCAAACACAATGTCCATACAACTCACTGCCACGGAGTCTGTTCCAAGTCACACCAACCGTGCGTGTGTGTGTGTGTGTGTGTGTGTGTGTGTGTGTGTGTGTGTGTTTTCGTGGAGTAAATTAACAAAAAGCAGGAATCAGTTAACAACCAGAAAACCGATGAATAATAGAGAAACTGAACAAAGCCAAACTGATTTAAAATTTCTGATACACAAGCCAGAGTGGGAAAGAAAGACAAAAAGTTCCAGTCACCCACTCCAGCAATGAGAAGACCCTCCTACAGGCATGAGACAAATACGAAGACACGTTATCAACAACGCACGTAAAAATACTGCAAAAGTTGGACCAATGTGACAAACACCTCAAAAAATAAAAGTACCAAAATTGACACCAGAGGAAGAGAAAATTTGAATAGCCCTATTTTTATTAAGAAAATGGAATTTATAATTGAACAAAAAGCAAACAAGAAAACTCTTGTCACAAAGAAAATTCCAAGGTCAGATGGTTTTTCTAGGACACATAAAGAAATGACATTAATTTTAAGCAAAGACTTTCAAAACAGGAGAAGTCTTAACTCAATTTTGAGGCCAGAGTAATGCTGACATCAAAATGTGACAAAGACCCCAAACCCTCATGAACAGAGATACAAAGTCTCCAGTACACTATTAGCAAATCAGATCCAGAATAAACAAAAAATTGTAAATGCTATGATCAAGTAGAAGTTATACCAGGAACTGGTTATTTTAATATTTCAACATAAAATCAATATATTCCACTACATTCGCAGATTAAAGATGGACCAAATTATCATTTCAATGGATACAACTGACAAAATTCAACATTTTTTTTTAAGCCCAGCAAATTAGGAATGAAGGGAACTCCCTCGGTTGGATAAAGGGCACTTATGAAATGTACTGGAAGAAAACGTGACCCAAGAACTGCATGCCCAACCAAACAGTCCCTCCCAAGGGAAAGAGACATGCAGACCACGAGGGGCCTCAGCTACAGAAAAGCGAGAGTCCTTCAGCTACAGCAAGAGGACCCAGGCACTCCCTCAACTTCATAAAAAAGGAAGAGCATCAAAACAAGTAAATATAAAAGCGAGTAAATGTAGCAGTCAACATCAATGTATCTTTTGCTTAGAACTTCTCTTTTTACCTCTCTGACTTAATAACCTGTGTAAAACAATCATGTAATAGCAAATTTTGGATACTACCACAGCTGTTTCTTCCCCTTTGCGTTGTGCCCATCAGCAATGAAGATCCTGAAAGCTGTTCCATCCCCGTCGTGAAGGTCAATTCTACTTTGAGGAAGCACCTCTGCTCAGTGCTACTTTGGAGTGCTTTCGACTGAGGAGCTCATCTTTTAGAATGGTGTCAGGCCATGTTCTACTAACTGAAAAGCAGGCAGTTCAAACCCACTGTCCGCCCCTTGGGAGAATGGTGAGGCATCTGCTCCCGTAAAGATTCCTCTCGGAAACCCTACACCAGATGATTATGAGTCAGAAAGGACGATATGGCAGTGATGTGGTTTGGTTTGGAATCCCTCAGAGGTGACTTCTTCCTTCTTGCTACTCTGTTAGCCTGGAGGTACTATGGAGGGCACCCCTGCTGTGTTTGAAACATCAGTGGCATAGCTTCTAGCATCACAGCCACATGCAAGCCATCTGCAGGGGCCGCGGATGATTGAACGTGGCTCTTCCAGCCAGTCTCTGGAACTCCCACCAAGTGATCTTTTCCTGATGGGTCTGGGTAAGAGAAGGTGGGGGAAGATACTGAAAAGATTCAGCTGTGAGTGGTTGTTAACAAGTAGCATGGAGTGCTGCATTATCAAAAGAGCCCTCTCAGAAGCCGGATTGGTGACCTCACCACCAGCAGTGAACCTTCATGAACCAGAAGACAGCTGTGACTTCAGAGGGGTGGCAGAGGAGGAGCAGCAGCAGCAACAACCAGGAGCCAAAGCATGCGACAAGGTGGTGGATTTCCTGGTTCACAGAACAGGTATAGCTGAGTGCCTCTGGGCAGGGGACTGGCAGGTGGAGTGGGGTACCTATGGGCACCTGATTAGAGGAGATGGAGTTGAGTGCTTTCAGGCTGAGGCTTACTTGAGTGGGGTGCCTCTGGGCACTTAATTGGGGGAAGTGGGTTCACTAACTCATGGAGATGGCGCAGTGACCTTGGGCTGAGGCTTACAGCAGAGTGGCGTGCCCTGGGCAATTGTCAGCAGTCCCGAAAGAACGTAGTAACACGTCCGGCTGAACAATTGTAACCTGAGCAGTCTCCCCGGCTTCCTAACACTGGTGAGCTTCCGTAAACCCTTTCATGATGAAGAGTGTGAGTTCTCGTGGCCATTGCAATGAATCATTAAACTCGGTAGCTGAAAGAGCAGGTGCGCGTGTGTGATAGATTACTACCCAGTCACCTTCCCATAGCTGCTGAAGGTTTTTGCCAAAATAGTTTGCTACTCACTTGACCCAGAAAACCCCATGGAATCATGCACATCACGAAGTTAAAATCGGTAGGTCCATATTAAGATCACCTGTGAAAATGCCCAGGCCATCCACGGTTTGCAGCAAAAGGCCACCAAGTATCTGAAAGCTGTCCCTTTGCAGGCACTGTGTGCCCTTCCACCATGACTTTCCCGTGGTTGAGTGGGTAGGTACACCCTCGCAAAGCAGTGGGGCTGGATACAGAGTCAGTGGTCAAAAAGAGGGCTGAATCCTTGCTAAGCATGCTTGAAACTGCCGAGAGCAATGCTGAACTTAGGGTGCAGGTGTGAGTTCTCTGGTCCTTGGGCACATCCAGGTGAACACAGCGCCAGATGCACCACTATACCCACCCATGCACACGCTCCCCTACCCCGCTGAGATGGGCTTCACTGAAAAGGAACCAATTGTTCCCAAACCAGTGGAGGAGGCTGCACAGAAGAAAAAGCTGTCCCAGAAGAAACTGAAGAGGCCAAAACTTACAGCTCAGGAGTAAATTTACTAAGAAAAGTAAAAAAGCCAAAGCACTACCACCACAGTATGACTAGTTAACAAAACAAGTGCGGTACCGAAACTATTAATATTAATTCAAATAAGAATATTATAAATTAAAATACTGGCTGGACATCTCCAGGGCAACAACTAAGAAGACAACGTTAAAAGGCAGCAAAGTAAATAGGAGAATCAGAGTGCCACGTTAGACGAAACATCTCAATCCAAAAAGCAAATCTCTGATGCAGAGTGATGGTCACCGGGTGGGGGGTGCGTGGGAGCAGGCAGCTTTGTCCCTTTCCCACAGAGCAACCTTGATGCGCACTGTGCCACCAGAGGGTAACGTAAAAGGAGGCAGTAATGGAAGAACGGAGGAACAAAAAAGATGTAGGCATACAGAAAACGTATAGTATCTCCAGCAGGAGTAAAACATAAACAAGAAATCCTCAAAACTGGACTAGTAAACATCATGAGAAATGGAGGCGAGACCCAAGGGTCACAGATTTCACGTGAACTGAAGTCACAATCAGGGGCAGTGGACTACTGAACGTGGCTCCTCCAGCCAACGGCGCTAACTCCCACCACGTGACCCTTCCCTGCCGGGTCTGGTTCGAAGGTTGGGAGATACTGATAGGATCCACCTGAGAGTGACTGCCGACGGGCATCCCTGGCGTGCCATCCTGGGGGGCATAGAATGAACCCTCTGGGAGGCACGAGGAAGGATCTCCTTGCCAGTGAGAGCCAGGAGTGCAGTGCATCTTCTGGACTTGAGTTCCCTGCACAGCGAACCTCATGTTAAGAGTTCCAAGTTTTCACAATTAACCCTGTTAATGACCAACCACAATTCTATATTGGATAGAATCATATAATCTATCAGCATCTTCCTCTACCATCTCTTACGCAGACCCATCAGGAAAAAGATGTTTGATGGTAGTTACAAAGACTATGTCCAAAAGACCCATATTAAATATTCTACCTCAGTGCCTTCTTCATCTGACATTTCCCCATTGTTTGCATGCACTGTCCTTTCCCAATCTTTCACTTTGAACTTATTTGTGTCTTTGAATTGAAAGTGAGTCGATGATAAGCAGCATACCCTTACACACACTCTCCCACACAATTTATGCACTTCACCCATCTCTTCTTTGTAAGTGCAGTGGGTCATCTGTTCACATTGAGTGTTGAGGGCTGATAGGGGAGGAGCCCTTGTGGTGCAGTGATTACAAATGCATAAGGTCAGCAGTCCCAGCCCACCAGGCACTCTGGGGGAGCGGCTATCTGTTCTCTTACAGAGGTGCAGCCTTGGACACCCACAGGGCCAGTTCTACCTTGCCCTAGAGAATATGTGGCTGGGTGTTCAAGTCCCCAAAAGGAGCATGCCTGTGGGCACAGCTGAGAAGAGGCTGTCCTGACCCCCCAAAAACCTGTATCCTGAATATTGCTGAGGCCGACTTGTAGCCTGTTGACTTTTTTTTTTAAGGAAGCATTTAGGTTATTTTTAGGTAAAGAAAAACAGACTTTTCCAAGGGCGACAACCTGTTCACTTCTTAGTGAAAACTCACAATCATAAGATCTGTGAGTTCTGTATTGCCAACTCAATGAATTATCGAACCCAGCTGGGCAGTGGAGTGTGGTGGGAGGGGCGACGGCGTGGGATTCGGTAAGATGGCTGGAGGCGTGTCAGACCGCGTCCTCACAGGAACCAGCCCTGGGCGATGGCGGTGGCTGATGCGGGCGGCTTTCCTTCCCCTTGTGAAGCTAGAAGAAAGGCATTACGAAATGATAAAAAGAATTCATGAAGAAGATATACCAATGATATTAGGTCACAAAACAAGTCCCAATAAACTTTATAGACGGAAATCATACAAATATCTTCCCTGAACATGATCCAGTGAAACTGGATTCAATAACAGGAGGAAAACACAATTCAGTTAAACAACATACTCTTAACCAACCAATGGGTAAAAAAGAAATCATACGAAAAATCGTGTAATACTTTGAGATGAATGCAAATGGGGCACAAACGCCAATATCCCGTGGGATGCAAGCGCAGCAGAGGCCAAGGCACAGCGGTAGAGACCCAGCCAGTGGCCACACCACCTCTGCCTCAGAACCACTCAGCCAGCGCCACCGGACCGCCAGCCAGCAGAAGGGGAACACAATGGCAGGGCTGACGGCGAACTAAACGGACTGCGCCAGACCAACCTAGCTAAGCAGAGAAGGCCCAAAGGATTGTGACCATGAAGGAAGTGGGGCGTTTTAGACCCAAACTGGAGGATAACTGTCTCAGTTTTACTTATTTTATTTTAATAAATCGCTTTATTGGGGTCTCTTACAGCTCTTAAAACAATCCACATTTCAATTGTTTCAAGCACATTTGTACATATGTTGCCATCATTTTCAAGATATCGCCTATTTGAACCCTTGGTGTCAGCTCCTCTTCCCTCCCCCACCCCGGACCCCTGATAAATTATAATTATTATTTTCATATCTTACACCGCCCACCATCTCCCTTCACCCACATTAATCTTGTCGTCCTCCTGGGAAAGGGGGGGGAATTATATCTCAGTCATTGTGGTCAGTTCCCCGTTTCTCCCCCTTTCCCCCCATCTTCCCCCTACCCTCATGGTACCGCCACTCCCATTGCTGTTCCTGAGGGATTTATCTGTCCTGGTTTCTGCATGTTGAGCGCTCTTATCTGTACCAGTGTACGTGCTCTGGTCTAGCCGGATTTGTAAGGTAGAACTGGGGTCGTGACAGTGGGAGTAGGAAGCGTTCAAGAACTAGAGGAATGGTGCGTGTTCCATCGGTGCTGTGCTGCACCCTGGCTGTCTGGTTCTTTCCTTGTGACCTTTCTGTGAGGGAAGCCTAGCAACCAGACCGCTGGGATATTGGCAGAAACCAGTCAGAGATTCACAGATATTGTTGAGAGTAGGGAACAAACCTCCCATGTCATCTGGTTTCTGAGACAGGCATTATCATGACTGATAGTGCGGGTGCACCCCCAAAAAACACACGCGCACGTGAACTTGGCAGGGCCATGATTCCTGGTGGCTTGGGGTCTCCCACCATGCAACCAGCCAGTAAGTTATAAGCGCACTAGGGTGGGATGTACCATCTTTAATCAGGTCACAGCCTTGGTCAGATGTGAGGGCATTTCTCTGAGGGGTGGACTGCATCACCTTCACCTTGAAAGAGAGAAGCAAGCAGAGAGAGAGACCTCTGTACCATCACTGAAGAAGAGCAGAAGCAGAGTGTGTCCTTTGAACCCAAGGTCCCTGTACTAAGGATCTCCCAGACCCAGGGGACAACTGGTGCCAAGACATATGGGAATCTCCAAGGGACACTGGGCCCAGAAGCGGAAAGACAGAACGTTCTTCCAGATCCGGTGCCCTGTGCTTGGACTTGCAGCCTCCTCAACTGCGAGGGCCACCCAGGTCGGTGGAAGCCACCCCCTTGTGGGCTTCCTGCTGTAGAGGCATCGAGAATAAAGGCAGGTGCCAGGAGCACTCAACAAGGAAGAGGAGCCATTCATCCAGAAACGCTGGGAAAACGTCAGGCATGTCCGTTTGACAGGACCCAGCCATTCTACTCCTGGGTGGTTCCCTGAGAGGACAGAAATGCTCACGGCAGCTGTGTGACAGCCAGGCACTGTGAGCAGCTCCGAGTCCCTCACCACATGAATGGTTACACTCACGGTGGGACACATAGACCCCTAGGCTCCAAAACAAAAAGGAACAGACAATGGTGATATATAGGAATTTGCAACTCCAAAGTATTGTGCTGAGTGAAATGACAGGTTCCCAGCGTGTACGTAACGGCACGATTCCATGTGTACAGTATTTTCAGGAGGACACTCTTTTAGAAATGGAAGACAGGATGGTGGGTGCCGGGAGTTTGGAAGAAGGATGTGATCCTAAACGGGCAACGCGAGGGGTTGAAACAGTTCAGTGGTGTGGCTCTAAGGGTCATAGGCGTTAGCTAGCCACACACACAGATTCATACTGGAGAAATCTGATTGCCATGGGTGGCTTTGATCAATGTCGATACTCTGGTTATGATATGAAACTATAATTGTGCAAAAGGTCACCAATGGGGGAAAACTAAGCACAATCGCTATAATATGTCTTACAAGTGTATGTTAACCTAATGTTACCAACATAACCTTTCACCTAAACGTCAGTACCGGCCAAGCATGTCTGGGCCAAGTCAGGGTTGCTTCGCTAGCTCAGTGGATGGAACCGAGTCCTACGTGACAATAACACGGGTGGTAACTAGAGAAGAGTCCAGACCTTGGCCCACCCTGGGAACCAGTGCCATCGTGCCCTCCCTCTCTATGGTGGCCCCAGGGTAGACCTGGGCTCTGCAGGATTTTATTTTCTTGCCCTAAATTCCATTCATGTTGTTGTTGAGAACATGCAGAGCCAAGTAGACACCAGTTTCTACATGAACAGCTTAGGAACACTGATGCCGTGATCCTCTCTCTCCAAACTGTGCAGCGGTCCTCCCTCAAGAACACAAATCACTGCCCCATCTTTGAAGTTGCTGCTATCAGCTTGATCCCATGGCCACCGGGCTTTGATGGCTGCTCTGTCAGCAGCATGCCCCAGGCCTTTCTCCGGATGCCCAGGTGGACTCAAGCGCCAGCCTCCCCTCTGGCAGCTACATATAGACACTGGCACCACCAGGGACTCTTCCAGGGCCCCTGGAGGCCACTAACAGCAGCTTGCTGGCTTCTAGACCCCGTCCACAGAGAGATCAATAATTCACTTTCATGTCTACCCCATGAAAGTAGCTGACTGCATCAAAGACGTCTCCAGGCCGTCGGCTACTTCATTTAACTAAAGCCAGTTCCCAGTGGCACGCTCTCATTTCACATGGTGACTTCAGTTACCACTTAGCCTGCAAGTATGGCAGGTGCCACCAATTGTCAAACCACCAGCCTCAAGGGGCCTAAGCCAGGGGGTCCTGGAGCTCAGACAGTGGGTTTCCCACACGCCTGCTGCAATGCCGGCATAAGATGCAAACGCTGAGCGCTGCACTGCCTGGGTCCTGGTACTTGCTCTGGAGTGGGTCTTGCTTGCTGTGCACACTCGGCTGGAGTGGATGCCCAGAAGACAGCGAGGCAATATCCGCAGAGTCTGGTCCTGGTAATGCAGAGCCGGGGCCACTGGGGAGACCGGGCTCAGAGCCTCAGCCACAACGCCACGCATGGTCACTGCAGGCTGGAAGCTGTGGTGCTGATCAGGTTTGAGCACAGTTTCCCCCACTAAGAAGGGCTTGGAAGACACTCTGGTAATCTACTTCTGAATATCAAAAACAAGCACATGGTTTGATTGCAGCCCACGATGGGGTGGCTCTCCTGACGCTCATGGACGCAGAGCCACCTTATGCTCAGTTCACACCCACTGCAGGGAGCACATACGTGTTGGCCTCACAGGCAAAGGCTCAAGTGTCCACGTGGCATGGGAAGCAAGCAACACAGTCTCAGAAAGAAGCAAGTGATCAACTAGACTCAGACTACAAGGAGTGAGGTAGGAACACCACGGGCAAGGTGAGGCAGCATCACACTGGAACTCCCAGTTGGGTCAGCGGCAGGATGCCTCATACGCAGGTGCCAAAGGCCACGTGCAGAGCACTGCCATGCAGGTGATGCCGATGCCTCAAACTCACACTCCGGCCACACCAGCAGGTGCAGCCAGGCGTATTCACGGGCAGCCAGGTACACTTCTGGGGCACCACAGTCCGGCCCTGCAGGGACAAAGGGCAGCACAGGGCTTTCCCTGGCCCTCTGCCCAGCTGAAGTGGGCTGCCAGATGACAGACTTTAGGAAAAGTCCCTGGAAATGACAGGAACTCTAAAAGACCTTCCCTCTCACCCAAGGATTACAAAGCAACAGTGACACTGGGTTCTAAGAAAAAGGACCCCGATGGCAGCAACAGCTGGCACCATGCCTACCCGGCTTCCCAACGGCCCGTGTGAGGGCACGGGAAGGGCGACCGGGTGGTGATCAGACAACAGGGCATGGCCCCAGGGAGACCAGCACCTACTTTCCTGCAAGCTCCAGGAAAGCACCCCTGTCCTGCTTGAGGACAGGAGACCAACACCCCAACTTCCAGCAGACCCGGCCAGCACTCAGCTGGCATCTGCAGAATTAATTTGAGGAGTCCCTTTAAAGAAGGCTTGACTGTAGTAAACTGACACCTGGAACACAAGGTGCAAAGGGGAGGGAGTCTCACTGCCGTCAGGCTGAGGCCGACTCCCAGCGACCCCATAGGACAAGCTGCAACGGCCCGCCCGGCGTGTTTCCGAGTTTGTGACTCATTGCGGGCGTAGAAAGCCTGTCTTTGGAACTGCTACGAGGGTAGTAGCCCACTGCATAACCCACCACAGGTCTATGTTTGCACATTTTAAAAAGAAACTTGCAAAGAGGGGAGGCCCTGGAGCCACATGTGCAGGAACCAGGGCACCTCCCTGTCCCCTAACAGACCCCTGGCCTGGCACCCTGGCCTCTTCCCAGCCGGCCCACCTCTGCTGCCACACCCCTCACCTTTGCTCGGTATATTTCGGTTTGAATCATCTGTATAAGGGAGTGCCCACAGGCCAGGGCGCGTGAACAGCAGGGCTGGTAGATGTGGGAGCCTGTGCCCAGCCCTGACCCCACACGGACCCAGCCAACGACGGTGCCAGGGCGGGTGCACTTGCTGGCTGGAGCCTGGAGC